CTGCACACAGGGAGTCCAGGAGCAGAGGCATAGCCATGACCGAAGCGGTCTGTGCCCTACTGCAAACCTATTAACATTTGCATTTCTTTGAGGTGTAGAAAATTCCACATTGACCGTGAACTCAAAAAAGGAAATAACCTTTTTTAAAAAGCCTCATACTTGATATTGAGAAAAGCAGCATTAAATGGTATCGGAGAGTCTCTTACCTATCAAACAAGGGATATAATATTTTAATATGATATTTTAGCACAAGGTGACTGGATCACTCATCTTGCATTCAGACTATTTTACAAAGGAAAACATAAGGGCAAGAGCAGGAGTGCCTGGAGCTAGCAAACAGCTCAGCCTAAAGAGCCAGCAAATATATGCTCCTCAATTGGGAGCTTTAATATATTTCCCCTTTTCTATGCCAGAATGGCAGCACTCAGCCAATACAGAATTAAATGGACCTGGACAAAGCAGCTGCCTGAGTAGCATAATTAGTTGGTGGCGCGGAGCGCTCTCTAATTCAATTAGCAACACCATTTATCAGAGGGAGCGGAGATTTACATTTGCACTTGCTGACGTCAATGTGAGAATCGCAGCGAGTCCCAGAAGCCCGCAGTTCAGCAGGCATGAACTGAGCTGCTGGGGTCATTTATTTTCAAAGAATAAGAGCTGGAGTTGGAAGGGTTTTTAATGTGCCTCGCTCCATGGCCCGGTGCTGCAAACCTGTAATCCGAGCTGACTGCTGCTTCCCTCACAGCTCAGCTCCAGGGGATGCCTTCTTTTTTTTTTAAGCTGCGTTTTAATCATGCCTTTTACACTTACTTCATGTTTAGCAAGGGCTGCTTCAGCATTGTTGGTGTGGAAGCAGGTGCCGGATTTGATACACGCGTCATTGCACCCGGCTGAGGGCAGGGAAAATGCTCGGAAATGAGCCGTTTGGGTTTATAAAAGAGGCTCCTGGAACACCTTCTCTGGCCCCGTGCACAGGCCTCTGTGCATATATGCGCACGTGGGCTTTTCTGCACAGACTTCCCTGTGCTGCACTCAGTTGTGCAAGTTTTTACACAGAGTTTGGAGGTGAAACGTAGGCAGCTCCTCTCTGGAAACTGCCCATAACTATCAATAGTCCTGCTTGAGGGGATCATTTTATAGCCAGATGTTTTTAAACCCAGCCCGACAGGAGAACACCCCCCTTTAGTGACCTGCTAGAAAAGATGAGGCGCACACACATAGCTCATGTCACCAAAACAGATTCATCAGCCAGCTGCTTGCGCTGTTCCTACTCTGGGGAGCCTGTGCCTTCCACCAGTTCCAAGTGCCTTCAGGGCAGAGTGGCAGGAGGAAGGCTGCATTAGATTCTATTTAAGCTTTCTGCAGGGGCATTCACCTAACCTGCTGGAGCTCCTATAACCCGCACGTCACTGCTCCTCCTGTGTGGCGAAGTTCCCAGTTCTGATAATTACCCTCTCAACTGCAGCAGGGACAGCACGAGTTGGATTTGTCACTTCAAACAAATAAACAAAAAAATTCTGTGCCTTCAGGAGCAATTGCCACAGCTTCTCACCACCAGGGAGGATGCTGGCACCCAAGATAGCAGACCTGTGTGATCTCTCACATCACTCCCATCAGCACTAATTCACAGGACTGGTTAGAAAACATGCACTGCATCCCTGGAATAGTCCCTTGTTGCATTGCTCTGGTGCCTACAGTGACATTCACAGCTGGCACAGAGAATGGGCGAGATGAGACACTTGCTTTACTGGCCAGATCTGCTCCCCAGCAGGCTTGGTGTTCAGCAAGGCTAGGCATATTATATCCAAGACCAGTGAGAGCGAGCAAAGGAAAGGCCTACATAAACAGCAGGCAACGTAGCCACAGAGTCGCAGGGAGTAGGACCCACCAGGAGTGCCCTCTTTGCAAAGGGGAAAGTGTAAAGTGGATGCTCCAGTCTCCACTCTAGGCAGTGGAATGTAGGGGCCACACCTGGGTTTGCAAGGTGGAATGGACTCCATCTCCTGGAGACATTCAACCCTCAACAGATAGATCTGCAGATCTATGTTAGCAATTAGTTCACCAGCCAGCTGGTAACAACCCAGCTCCAGTCCTGAAATGAGCTAGTATCCAACTGGAGAACCAAGAGCAAAAGCATGGTGCTTCCTAGCCACTCCACTGATATTATAATGAATGCCTATAGTGTGAGCCAAACAATACTATCTATCTAAGGCACATGCCTGGTCCCCCTCACTGCAGTGTGTAAGCATATCACAATCGGTAACGTATTTATCCTCACCACACCCCTGTGACGCAGGGCAGTGCTATTCTCTCCACTGTACTAATGGGAAACTGAGGCACAGAGGCTAAGTGACTTGCCCCAAGTAACACAAGAAGTCTCTGACAGAGCAGGGATTTGAAACCAGCTCTCGCAAGCTCCAGCCAATGCCCTACCACCTGGACCATTCTTCCTCTCTGACTGGCTTATGACTGGGAGGTTAAGCTGTAAAAACTTTACAAGCCAGCAGGACAAAACCAAGAGCTTTAGAAAAGGCATTTGCAAAGCCTTTTCCTGCCAGCGCACTAGGGCCTGGCAAGCGCAGCAGGGCCCTGATTTTGGCTGGGGCTTCTAGGTGCTCAAGTGATACAAGTCAATAATGGGAATGGAGTAGATTTAGCGCTAATAAGCCTTGTTCACCTCTCTGTGCCACAATCACTTGAGTCAGCTTTGCAGAATCCATACTTGAATCTAACATTTCCCTGGTCAGGCAGGCCCTGGTTCAGGGCACAGTTTAGCCTGGTTCCCTCAGATTAAGTCTTTGGGGTTTTGCTGTAGGGTCTGTATCAGGAGCCTCTATGGTGCTCAGAACAGTGTGTGAAGTACTTCAAAACTCCTGGGAAAAAAGTGCAATCAATAATGAACACCATGCTCGCTGTGGGGAGGAGTGCTGGAACTGCTGGCTACTCCACTCACACCCTGCTGAACGAGACCCCCTCTGCTGCCCATTCCCTCCTTTATGTGCACCACACACTCCAGCCTCACAGACTCTGACACTCTAAAGTCCACTTAATTGGTGGGAGGACTGCCTGGCACAGCGCATCCTGAACCATGTGAGCCATCAAGGTGCACAGCAGGCATGCAAATCAGACCTGCTGCTATGGCAACCTGGCCTTCTGCACACACAAAGGCACCGCACCTCCTTTCTGCTCAAGCTGTGAGACGCTGATAGGGAACAGCGCGGAGAATTTCAATGCAGCAGGAGTGCAAGCAAGAGAAGGGAGGCTGCCCAGAGACACACATGGGGCCAAGACTCCCACTGGCTGATTATTTCTGATCCCCTGTCAGTATGTGCTGCACGAATCCCTGGCACCACTGCAGTCCCCTCCCAGGTGAAAAGAGCTCAATAAAGAGCAGTGGGGTCCTTTGTTATGGGGTGAAGGAAGCCAATTACCCCCCTGCCCCGCCCTTAGACAATCTGTGCCTTTGTTCTAAACGCTCAGTAACTTCTCAACCAGAGCGCGCAGGGTCCAGGCTGAAGCAGGTGTCGAAGTGCCAAAGAGAGAAGAGACACTGTTGTTTTACCTGCCTCAAGAGGGACCTGTCTATTCTTTATTATTCTGCAGTTTTACCTGATGGATTGATTGCTAAAGAGACCGTGACGCCGCAGTTACCGTGCTCCACAGCTTCCATGAGTCTCCCCCTTCTTCTGGCAATGTCACAACAAGTCTCTGTCTGCTGCTGCGACGCTGCCATTCCTGTACTATGCCACCCCTCCCAATGGAAACAGCATAGCACGGCCTCTCACTGCAAGCTGGACGCAAATCATCATTTGCCAATCAACAGTGACCCATGTTGAAACTGTCCAAGTGAGCCTACCAGGGCAAGGTGAGCACTCAGTCATCCCATCTAGTTTAAAACCCTGAACAGCTGACTGATCGCATACCCAGCCTCTGGGCTGCCATGCCGTACGTCTGGGTTTGTTACTTGTCCCCTGGTGTCACATGGTGGCTGGCGCTCAGGATTAAAATAGGCCCAGATCCCCTATGCCAGAGCAGGTGCTCCCAGCCGAACCAGCTAAGGTGGTGAGGCTGCACCTGGGCTATAGAGGGTGCAGGGAAGCCCAATGAGGTCAGCACTAGAAGTGGCACTGCTGAGTGAAGCTGCAGGAAGAGAGGGTCTCCTGCAATGGTCCCAGAGGAAGGGACGGTACTTCAGGGAAGAGGGGCTATGCCTAACCTAAGGCTGAGTGGAAGATTTTGTTTGTTTGTTTGTTAATTAATTTAATTAAAAACCGAGATCCATTGGGAAAAGCGCATTATTGCAGCTTCCCATCACCCGACTGCGTTAGTTTGGAAAACTTTAGCAGATCATCTGTCTTGTGCACCAAACCTGTCCTTACTAGAGAACCATGGGCCAGCATGTGAAAATAAGAGGGTACTGGATTCTGGGTTGCTGCTTCTGAATGGATCTTTCCAGCAAATCCCTCTTCCCATCGCATGACAGCTGCCTTACCACACCTTTATAAATAAGCATCCAAGAATCATTTAGAAGAGGGAGCTACTGCCCCAAACGGATTGCACGTTCACTTTCAACCTAATATAACCAAACACTTCCCACCCCAGAGTAGCCTGGAGGATGCTGATTTCACGCATTTCTTCTCCTCCCAACAGCTTTCTAACAATTCTTGTTCAAATAAAAAAGAAAAATACATTTCAGCCAAAGGCGGACGCTGAGCTTTCATTTTTAAAATGATTTTAACCCATTGAGGTATTTCACCCTAGAAAGCAATATTGGCCACGAGCACCAAAGCTGTATTAATACCACGCAGACGTCCCCATGTAAATGCCTGTCCCCGTGTGTGGAAAGATGCCTTTCCCAAGAAGATAATTTCAAGGTAACTCCTACCATTGCATTTCTCCTACCAGTATATGGATCGCTTCTTTCATATGCAGAAATTCAAACAGAATTAGCTCATGCACCTTTCTGCCCCCGTTCTTCCTTCCCAAACTTGTGAAAACACTTACCTGGAAGTATCCAGGAATGGTTTGTAGGCAATGCTGATCCATTCTTCTTTGTTGGCGGAGTATCTCGGCTCCCTTGATGTTTCAATCGCTCTATCTAAATCCACCAGGTAATGGCATTTGGAAATGTCAATCTGCAGGGAGAAAGGAAACCTTATACTTTATGTAGTGAGGTGCATTCTTCACTTCCTATCCTAAACCACGGTGTAAACATTCTCATGCACTACCACGTTTCACCCCAGAGCTGGCGGCATTTCAGTGGTGGGGTAAATGCTCTTTCAAACACAGTTAGAAAACTTGGTAAAGTGTTTTGGATCTATTGAGATGAAAGGTTCTATAGAAATGTAAGGTATTACTACTACTGCTGCTGCTGCCGGGGGCTGCTTCTCTAGAGCAAAGAATACATACCCTGTGTGAGCAATTTCAAGGAGGATGACCTCCCTCAGGCCACTTATTACCATAATGCAGAGTGAAGCAAGCATTCAGCAATGCAGCTCAAACAAGTGCACGGAGCAACCAGAAATATAGCTCACATGAGCGCACGGGGAGAGAAGTGTTTTTCGGGAGACAAGAGAAACAATAAATGTGTGGAATCTGGCACGTGCACCAACAGTTCCTGCGCTGAAGAACTTACAATCTAAGTGAAGCCAACAAAGTCTTGATTCAACACCCAATGGAAAGCCTTCCAATGGCTTCAATGGGCTTCGGATCAGTTTGCATGCGAGCACAACACCCACCGCAGTGCCACATGTACAACTCATCAGATTCTCGCACTCAAACTCACTCTCAACTGGCACGCACACAAAAAAACGAGCCAGAAGGGAACAAGGACTTCAACACAAAGCCAAGGTGTTAGGAAAGCCCCGCTGACTCTGGGCACACGCAGTGCTTGCCCTAGGTCAAGCGATGCAATTACTCAGGGTCTAAAACCCCACCTCAAACATACGTCGTCTTTTCAGATTAGTAGCGGAGTCATAACGACACAAGGAAACACCAAGGGAAAGGCAATGAGAGAGAGTGAGAAACTACAGGCAGCAGCAGCTGTGGCCAAACTAAACACAGCCTGTTCTCGGGGGCTGGCGGGAGAGGGATTTCATCAGAAAGTATCTGAACAAAGCCTCTTCCTTAACTGCTCTGGGGGCTGTTAAACACCACACCTCACCATTCACTGGAGCCCGCTCCAAAGCCAGTGGAGCTGTGTAAATGTTAAAACTGGCAGGGACTGAACTCTGCACTGCGACTGCAGGGACCGGCCCTTTAGGCCTCTCCCCTCTGGCAAGCTCAGCCTGACTAGTGAGCGAGGGAACTGGAAATACCCCACTGTGGGTGGCTAAGCGGGTGTTGCTGAACTGGCAAAAGTGAGACCAGGCTGGTTCGGAAGGAGGCAGAATGAGGCTCTTGGCAGCTCCGCTGTTTGCAGGAAGGCCCAGGGAAGCTGAAGTGGTCATGGAACCGCCAAGGGAGACAGAGCATCTAGTGACTAAGGCTCAGAGGCTCCGGGGACCCCGGTTCATTTCCCAGCTCAGTTAAAGACTCCCCATGTGACCCTACGCAAGTCACTGCCTCTCTCTATGCCTCAGTTTCCCCTCTGTAAACTGGGGACAGCACCTCCCTACCTCACATGAGGATACTATCTATTCGTGTCTGTGAGGTGCTCGGATCCTACTGTGGCTGGCAGTTAGAGGAGGCTGAGGTTCATCAGCAGGTAATTGCCCCTGAGTAAGCCAGAGTCTGACCCCCACCTCTGGCAGATCAGGAGGATCTTTCACTGAGGCGGCTCTCCATCATCGCACACTCCACTTCCCAGCTGTGCCAGTCAGTGGGGGATGGTCGCTGTGTTTCCTCGGAGGAATATGGACCTCAAACAAGGTGAAACCCAACTGAGCAGCCACTCTTCCCTGCTTGCCTACAAACAGGGTGAGAGCCTCAAATCCGTCTGTGCAAATGGGATGCTCCTCCTACAGAAGGAAGCACGTCGTGGGCTGGCATCACAACCCAACTCCTCACTGCTTAGTGATTTAAACGTGTATTGCCCCCTTCCTCAATGTATAAGAAACGGAATTCTAGAGTTCAAATGCTCGCACAACACTAACTCAGCTATATTGCACAGTCAATATAATTCACTAATCACAAAAATCACTACATTACAGTTTATTGTTTACCATGCAGTATGTGCTATGTAGCTTAGCTAGCACAGTGGGAGCCACCTCAACTCTAGGAATTTCCTAACTTTTGATTTCTCAACTTTAATATTTTCGCATTTTCTGGGCTAGATTTTGGGAGTTATTTGCTATTCAGTTCCACTCACTGTTCTAACTTGGCACCAGCTCTCAGATTCTTGGGGTTTCCAGTCTTGCTAATTCTCATGATTTTACCGTGAGCGCTGCAGTATTTGGTATAATATTAAAGTCCCAGATGCTGGAGTTGGAGGAGTATGAGAATCTCAGCCTTCGCTTAAAAAAAAGGTTTCAGAGTAGCAGCCGTATTAATCTCTAAGGTGCCACAAGTACTCCTGTTCTTTTAAAAAAAAAAAAAAAAAAAAAAGTTTCTAGGTCTCACGGTTATGAAGAGAAGCTTGGAAACGACCTGAGTGTACTCTAAAGGCTCAAAATGTGTCAAGTAAATAAAAAGAATCCAGTATTTACTATTTTTTGAAATCACATTTTTAAGATAGCCTCATGATTTTTGTTTATGCTTCCACTTGCAGTGGCTCTTTACTAGCACAAAATGTCAGGCTGACATTTCCATTTCATGCTCTCTAGTCTGGCCTCCCGTAAGTATGTATGTTGCAGTTACTATCATATTTGCAACATATCTGATTTTATGCAAAGAGACCATGGCTGCCCAATCGATCTCACATGTACACAGTAATCCGTTAACCATTTCAAACAGCCAGACATTTGTGCTAATCCACTGGTACATTTGGCTGGAGCTTAAGTGGATTCACAGGAAATAAGAAGTATTTCTGGCAAGATGCTCGCAGCCTGGCATGACTGTGCTACAACCTGATGGGGTTAATGCATTATTAATACCACCCTGCCTCGCTGCTGATCCTCATCACCACATTGCTTGGAGCGGACATCACACTGCACTTCCAGGATCATATGGACACAATATTGTTGCATTCATGCCTTTATCAGCAATCAATGATGCAAGCAGCTGCTTTGCCCTTACAGAAAAGTTTGGCAACACTCAGCTGAATTATGAAATTGTATACAAGGAAGCAACACAACAAAACTGAATTACATTTGTGACCTCCCAGTAAATGAGCTGCAGGCAGTGTCCTCAGGGGGCCTTGGTTATATAAAGATCCCCTTCCTGCTGGGAAGACCACTCCCTGATACGGACTGGCTGTGCTGTTCATTATGCCACTGCATCTTTTCCATGCTGCTATTCCCTCTTGCGGCATCTCCTACAGGCACACTCTAGAGGCTGCAGGCAGAGAAAGGTTGGCTAACGCAAAGATGAGCGATCAGCTATGAAAGTTCTTTAGCACTATGACAAACTTTATTTAATAAATAACCCTAGCTCACGAGATATGTTCTATAGGAGGTAGTTCAAAGATTAGTTACACTGTGTAGAAAACTAAACAAAGGGACGGGAGAGCGGTCAAGCAGTTAGTGCGAGTGACCAGTAATAAAGAGCGATGGGTTCCATTTCCAACTCTGAGAGGGGAAGCTGATCTAGACTAGAATTTTCAAAAGTGCCTAAGGGATCAAAAACTTAAGTCACATTCTCAAAAGTGACTTAGGAGCCTGAATGTCACTGAAAGGCAATGGGACTCAGGCTTGCAATTGCTCAAGTCACTTTTGAAAATGGAACTTAGGCAATTTTTAAAATTCTACTTCTAGTGTTTAATACAGAGGACTGAAAATCAGGACTCCTGGGTTCTGTTCCTGGTTTTGTGACCTCTGGCATGTCATCCAACCTCCCTGTTTTCCCCTCTGTCAAATGAAGTTAGCAATACCCAACTATCTCTTGGAAGGGCTGCCAGACTTCATTAATTAAAATGTATCAAGTGCTTTGAGATTCTTGATAAAAGATGCTCTAGATATAAAACCAGTAGTAGTATTCTGCAATAGTTTGGCTGCTTGAATTGGGAAGGAGGCAACAGGGGGCTTAAATACAGTTTATATCTAATATGTAAATTGCCAGAGACTTCCTCAAACTGAACAGAATCAGAGACAGAATGCTGTTCTGCTCAATAAAAAAATTTGCAGTGCATAGTACCATTTTCACTAGACAGCTGGGCATTTTTACTGTGGTGAAGCCTGAGGGGAAGGGGAAAGACACACAAGAAAGGTATTCACGTAAAAATGTGAACTTTCAAATGATGACAGCAACAGCTCCGTTGTGATTAACTGCCATCATCCATGCACCTGATGGGATAAAAATATTAAAAGGCTGCTATGTCGCTCCATCTAATCTGGGCACCATTAGATCAGCACAGAACAATGAAATTGACGAGCAATTGAAAATGGCAGCTGATTCCTCCTGAATGCCTCGCTGATGTCTGAGCCGGTGCGCAAAATCCCACAGCTAGATGAACAGGAGAATAAAGCAGTCTCTCTCGCACTCTGCCCCCACCAATACAAATAAGGGCACCTACCACCAAAATGTAAAGAATGCACTATGGAGTACAAAGCGACTTCTCAGGGCATTTTGTGCTGGGTCAAAGTCCTACTGTGTTTATCTTTCTGTACAATTCGATAAGGACCTTTACAAAATACAGCATCCAAGCCACAACTGTTCTGATTTATTATCCAGTGCAGAAAGGCGCCAGGTGCCTATTACTGGCAACTGAGGGAAAACACTGCCCAATTGGTGGCATAAGATCCTGCTCCCTGTTTAACTCCCAGCAGCTCTGCTTAGATTCTACACTGTAACCTCATGTCCATCCCACGGCACATGAAGAGGACTCCATGGCAGAATTCCCTAAGTATAGATATCCATGGGATAATAGCCCCCTGGGGATCTAGACACAGTGATCTGAGAGGGGCTTACTGAAGCAACCTGCCTGAGACACCAAGGTGGGGTGGGCTGGAAGGGACAGATCAAGGAGTCAGTCAGCAGAAGAAGGCGTTTCTCTGAGGGAGGACAAGTCTATTTGAAAGAGCTGGGGAAGGAAAGAATGAGTTGGAGAAGAACAACAGCCCGGAGGGACTCAGCGAGATCAATGTTTAAAGGACGTCCCTTGTTGAGCAGGGGCCTTAATAGGAGTCAGGGGCAATAATTGCAAAATTCTGGTAGATCTGGGCCCCTTTCAATCTCAGTACCTCCCACCGTATAGATGGAGGTCTGTATGTAGTACTAAGGGTGTCGCTGAGTGACCTCTCTTTAGCAACAATTTCTCTTCCGATTAAAAGCAGCTGAACACAATCTGAACTATCACTGCTCAATAGCGAACCAAACTAACAGAGTGCAGGAGCCTTGTCAGCTCAGGGAAACACAAAAGGAACAAAAATGACATAAGAATCATCAGCTGTTTTAGGAAAGGAGCAAATACCACCAGTCACTATGGGAGTTTGTCTTATTAAGGAGGATAAGTGATGAATAGGGAAGTGTAAATAGATTTTTCATTAATCAAATCAAAGGCAAGATGCGCTAGGCTGTGTTTTCAACAGCAGCTCCCCATGAATTAACCTTCCTGAATAAACTTTGTTAGAGGCAGCAGAGAGCAGGTATATGTTGCCTTGGAAGGCTGGGTTTCTTTTTCAGTTTTAGTCCCTGAACCGATCCCTTTCTGGGCTTTCTGCAGTGTGCTGCGTCACAGGTGTCTCTTGCAAACTTTCTTGAACGTTTTAGAGTCACTTTACTGGAGAAACACTGGGGTTTGCGGTGAATTTATGTTGAAAACAATTTAATTAAGGGGAGACCAGATGGCTCAGTGGCATCACACTGGCGCCCCAACTGAAATTACACTGCAGGAAACTCAGCTAAGAAGAATATTGAATCAACTTCTTGCATTGTCAGAGGGGAGAATTCTAGGCCCATAGAGATTTTTGCTTGTTAGATATTTTGTTTTTAAAGCTATACAAAGTCCCTTTGAGAGAAACAAACTGCCGCATAAAACAATCCGAAAATACCAAGATCTAACACTCCCTTCTTTTCCTGGATGCTCCTTCAATAGGACTGAAGCTTCCAGTTCAAAAGATTTCTCAGAGACACACAATATATTTCCCCTCTACAATCCTGAGTGGCTTTTACTTTATTCTGATAGGTTAAGCGAAAGCTAAGGGTGAAATCCACCTGTGGGCAGAGGGACAGCACAAGGCCTATGCACCCTATTTTGGGGGCTTAAATGGAACTTAAGTGGTGCATAGACCTTAAACAGGCCCTTTCCACAGGGAAGAATTTCACTTTCAGTGAAAAGAGCCGGGGCAATTTTAAATGTACAACCTCCCCCGCTCCCCTGAGTCTTTTTTAATCTGGTGCAGCTGCTCTGTAAAGTGATGCAAAAGAACTGGGTTTAACCACTTCCTGAGTAGCAGCAGGAGACAAAGCATGCTAAACAGGTGGAAGACACCAGACTTTTGTAATAATGCTCCAATTGCACGGTCCTCACTGGCTAATGGATGGAACAGAGCGGATGATGGTCTGACCACACAGCGCAATACAGGAGCTCGCTTGCTCTACCATAGGCAGAGCTGAGTTAAAATGTGTCCTGCAGAACCCACAGACACCCTATCCAAACAGCTCAAGTCAACAACTTTAACATGAGGCTAGCTTAGCCTTTAGGTCCTTGATCCTTTTCTAAAGATGGCCAGGCACTCGGTGGGGAAAGTAAAAACAAAATATAAAGAAGTCTTCTCCAAGGTCAGGAACTTCAAACAAAAGTTCAGCTTTTAGGCCCTGTCTATGGTACCTGCCAACACCTCCTGGTAAAAGATGGTATCAATCAGCTTCACCTTAACACAGTTTCAGAGAGAAATGCATTTAGGATCCGACAGGACAACTTGCATGAGTAAGTGCTACTCAACAAGAGTAAAGGAAGCAGACTCAGATCCTTAATGCCTGGGAATTTTGAAAAACAAGATGGTTAAATCCATCTTCTCCCAGGCACCATAACAGAAACCTTATGACATCCCTTGTGATTTCCATGCAATTCAGCAACAGGAACTTCCACTGGAGAATGAATAATCTAATCACTCCAACTGCACTAAATTCTTTGTCTTGTCCGTAGCTTGGATAAGGTCTTCATGAGACTGTCTGTCTTTAGAATCTGGGCATGCCACAGCTACTGGCAGCTCATTTAGTTCTAGAGACATCCCAGTTCTCCTGGTATTATTAGCAGCTCAGAATCAAAGGTTAGTTTTAAAACCCCACTTAAAATTTACATCAAGTAGCTAATTTCTGTATTTCTCAAAGTGGCTGCATTGAATAAACATATCCCAGTCCTTCTTCCTTGCATCAGAAATAACAAAATTGTAGGGTGACATTAAGAGACAACCATGAAACAAAAATGTGTTTTGTTTCATTAGTCACAGGCTGTGCAGCAGCCAGCTGTCTGCACTAAAAATATGCCAGAGTTAAAGATTTTGTAAATTAAATGCACTGCAGTAGACAGCTCCTCTCAGGTGGGAATCCGCCTCCTTCCCATTTCCAATAACCCTGTAATAGATCTTAAAATAACAGAGCCTGAATCCTGAAGATTGATTCTTGCTTTGTTACCTATACAATTTCCTCTAATGTTGTCGTATCAGATTCAACCCTACTCTCGAGATCAAATCTGCAGACTCTGCCATGCTGCCATTGTGAGCCAAGATCCTCAGCTGGTATAAATGAGCATGTGTGCATTGACTTCAACGGAGGTATGCAGTTTACATCTGGTCTGCTAGTCTGAGTGCTTCCCACAGAGTCACGGACTGCACCGAGGGCACCCTTCAAAGCGCTGAGAATGGAGGAGGAAAGGCATCATCTGCTTCTTGGCAGTTCATCTTATTCATCCCTTTCGACAAGAGGAAGGATGGTTCCATGGTTAGAGCAGTCACCTAGGACCCAGGTTCAATTCTTGACTGTCACAGACTTTGAACAAGTCATTTAGCCTCTCTGTGCCTCAGTTCCTGGTTTCTAAAATAAGGCAAGTAGCATTTCCCTACCTCGCAGGGGTGTTGTGAGGATAAATACATAAACGATCACGAGGCACTCAGATACTTCAGTAATGAGGGACGGATAGGAGGGCTAGATGGATGGGCAAACATTCATAATGCAATACTCCAGGCATTCCCACTCATAATGGTCAGGTGAGACAGAACGGTATTTATCTACGCTCAGAATTATTCTGATCTCAGAAAAAAGGAATAAAAAACGTATTTAGCTTGGCACTCCTTTCTAGACAACATTTCAACTAAAAGGAGATAAAAAGATCAGCTGAGCAGCCTCCCAACTGCACCAATCTATATGGTCACTACAGCCAGCTGCTTGCAAACACACAACAAACTAAAACCTCCAGCCCAAAGCAAAACAGAACTGCAAATAAACCATGCAGATTATTGTTCAGATACTATGGAACCCTAAGACAGAGACAGCTAGTACCTGTATCTGTGTCACTTAAACACTCTAAGCTGTGCCTCCAAAGAAGCCTTGAGGGGGAAAAAATGGGGGAAAGGCTGGGTCCTCAGAAAATTGCTTCTGTACTTTGACTTAATCTGCTAAAGAATTCTACAACAGGCCAGCTGGCAAGTGGTATTTTTGGTTAAGTAACCCGAGACAACCAGGAAAAGGAACAAATACACCATACTGATGCAGGTTATCTTAACAGATTCCTTTTGAAATCAGCGGTGCCAGGGTCCCAATAGTTTCAGGTGACGCTCTGGACTAAACAGCTATTTCTTCTGTTACAAACCTCTCGGGCAATTTTATTTACTTAGTTTTAACAGGTCCCAAAGTGCAAAGGAAAATGTCACCCACTCACTGCTCAATGACCAATACATTTCATTGGTGCGGGTGGGGAGGTGGAAGAAGAATTTGAAAGTACTGGATCAATCTGAGCTGTTATCTGGAATCAGAGAGTGTAACGGTACAATACATCAGAAATTGTAACTACTGGGAATTTTCTGGTTTGTTTTTTTAAATAATCACTTCAAATGAAAACTAAATAGAGATGATTTACAAGTAGAATTCAGACATCTAAACAAACAGATTTTGTTTTGGGACACAGCCATGCAAACAGATTTTTGTTGTGGGTTTATACAGCCCCAGCACAATGGGGTCCTGGCCCAGGATGAGGATTCCTGGGCGACTACAGCACTACTACTATTACTACTACTAACAATGATGAAAGAAAAAGAAGACAAGTGTGTAGCCCTTACATATCTGGATGGCTCTTCCCTGTTTTGGTCATTCATGTCTGCAGGAATGCTCCGTGTGGCCATTGGTCCCTTGGCAAACGGTTTTGGTAACTGGCCCCTGAACTCTGATGGGATGAACTGGAGCTGCCAACTGCAGGAAACACAGAGAGGAAAACCTGAAATGAAACTCTGGGAACCACCAGAATTTTGTAATGAGAAAACAAAAAGCGTAACTAGAGGCTTTCCAGTCTACAGAGCAAACAGTCCTGCTAGAAAAGCAGCAATGGGTTAGACGTATGCACAGAGCCAGCCCCCACCCACCAAATTCAGTTGCACCTAGGCAAGATGACCCTGTTTGCAAAAACACTTAAGCACATGGGTAAGAACCACTGAGGTCAATGGGAATACAAAGAGAATATACCCTCACTCTTGTAAATTTCACTTACAAGATGCACTCATAAACTTAATAAACAAGTGAACCATAGCTGAGCCATCAGTGGAAACACAAGCGGAACTCCCATACATTACTGCAGCTCATGAAAGATACACAATGCACAAAGGGGAACACAAACCCACCCACGTCCTATGTCCAGACTTCTGTTCCCCATTAATCCTGGCAAGCTTCCTTAATGATAAAAACAGTTACAAGACATGGCGGGCATGGGCCAGAACACTGCGTCGGGGAAATGCATTTTGATTGCGGTGACCACTCAAGAAGTCCTGGAGGCTTACTGTCAGGGAGCTAAACTACATTCAGAAACAATGGACTGAAATTGGCATCAGGCCTTTTCCATCCACATTTAACTTTTGAACTTCATTTAATATTTGCAAGTCAAATAATTTTGGCCACATCTGCTAGACCAGAACCCACGCCAGCCAGGAGCAAGGCATTTCAGCTGGTGAAAGGAAGAGCTTTGTCAGCAAGCTCTTGAATCAACACTCCAGCGGTTTTAAGGAATGCAGGATTCTGCAGCCACTTGTGCCCTAACAGCTTGTATTTCAGGCCTTCAAGGACTAATCCCAGTACTCATCTACTGCAACTGCTTCACTGGGGAATCACCAACTGCTGTCTGCAAGCCCGGCAAAGCAGTGGGACGTTTGCCCATGAACACGATCTTTGTAAATAGAACTGTACTATCTTGCAGTTCTGCAGGTTGGATGGAGGGAGGGAGGGCTGTTTTGTTTTTGTTTTTTTACCCTTTCCACCTAAAATTAAGGGACATTACCTAAAATTGCTTGGCAAGAGTAGCTGGGATTTTTGGGACACATTCCCAAAGCAGTACACAGGGTTCTGGTGACTAACACCCTATGCTGTTTTGAAGATATACTCCTAAGATGGATGCAGAAAGCCAACTGACAGTGTCAGGAAATGAAATCAATTGGATCTTCCTGACCTCCTTTTAAGTAGCATATATAATCCTGCCCATTTCTTAATCAGAGGCCCATCATAACGGAAAAAAATCCCCTTCTCCCTTTACAGATGTCCAAAGATTTTTTCCAAAGCAAAGGCTTTGCTTCTTAAGGAAGCAACAGCTGCCCATTGCTCATGAGCAACACTACAACAACAACCCCGTGTGCCTGGGGGCTGGAAGACCACTTCAAAAAGTAAAACATAATTCAGTTCCAAGCTCCCAAACAGAATGGCTGTGAACTAGAGTAACTGAAAGTACATCATTTCAGAATGAAGAAAACAACCTTGACAGGACCCCTGTAAGAATCTGAATTGTTACCATCCGTGCACATGGCTCAACGAATTAATTAATTTAAAATATTTTGAACATCTGAAAAGCAAACAGATGAGTCACTTTTTCCAAGATCGCTGGTACACGTGGCACAAGTCTGAGGGCTTGGCATTATGGACAGCTTGTGAGATGAATTCTTGTCAAAACTATCCTACAAACTGCATCCTGAGAAGCATATTCTTAAAACTAATGGTTTTCTGATATTTCCATGCAGCCCTGAACTTGTGCATTAACTACAACTGACGCTTTGGAGAACAAATTGAGATTGTAGATGTACCCTGTGGCCTTGAAATTTTATTTCAGGATGATAATTGTTGCCTCTGGGTCTCCATAAAGTTTAAAGGAATGCCGTCTGCAGTCTAACCTGAATTCCTATGTTTCTAGGGAACCTTGACCACAACAGGTGAGTCATCAACAGCCTCGCCCCTAAACATAGCCAAACAGACATGGACAAACAAACCAAGATGGAGAATTTGCATAGAAGGGATTCAGTGGCTAAAAGACCTGGAGAGAGGAGCCATTAGTCGGGTAGGGCTGATAAATCTGCCTGTCATGTAGCGTCACTCGGAAGGGTAGGCTTTGTTTCTGAAATTACCGCCATGATATGCACATCTTGCTCTCACTTTGGCCCCAGTTCAGCAAGGGGCCTAACTTCAGGCACACAAGTTGACGTCAGTGGCATGAGCTTCAAGCCGGGCAGCTGCTCAAGTATCTTGCTGAATCAGATCCTTTATGATGAGCAACTTACTTATCTGGCAGGAGAAAGCTGCTCGGAAATCGGTACCACTCCTTCCCCACACAGACATTAACTGGCCTCCCCTCTGGCACTGTGTGAATAGTCGGATCAGTGGCAATCCTATGAAATTCTGGATACAGGTCCAGAGGCCCATGGTAGCCTACAGAGGAGGAAGATAGCGAACAAAGAGTGAAAAGGCGGGTGGTATTCTCACGTCTTGACTTGTTTATATTTAAGCCTCCCATCAAAATGCTGGGAGGGTTTGGAGTACATACCCAGCTACCTAGCTCTGGTATCTAGAGAGCACCCATCCCAATGGCATCATGTTCCATTAAAACTAACGCCAACCCACTTGCGCTATTACAGCAAGGCCAGCTTCAACTTCTGCCACATTGTCCACAAGAAGCTGCCAAAATCATGAACATTCCTGTCCTTGTTGTTTAATAACATGTTGATTTTATTTTAGGACTTTCCCATGCCACACGTTTCCACTGTTCAAGGAGTTTAGCTTAACTGAGAACATAAAAAGGGAGATTCCACAAGGGCTTTGTTAAAGTATAAAAGTTCATATCAATCACAAGCCAAGGTTTGCTAACCTTGGCTTAATGAACATAAAGTGATTGCTGGATGACTGTAACTGAAATATTGCATGTGCACCCAGAGCAAAGGATGGGCATGTAGTAAAATTAAGAAATATAAAAATAACACTGTAGATAAATATTCATACAAAGCCTCAAGTGCTTTCAGGGCCTTCTTAACTGATAGCTTCATAAATAAATAAAATAATCTACACTAAAATGTAGTTAGGATCCAAATCCCATTTCAGTACCTTGCTATAACATGGCACTTTTATCACCACTCTCCTGTCACTACTGTAGATGGCTTCAATCCTGCAAATACATATGCCCAGGCTTTACTGGGAAGCTCCAGTGAAGTTAACAGGACCACTCCTGGCCCCAATTCCAGAAAGCACATACACGCATACTTAACATTAAGCACGTGCTTAAATCCATCTCCATGCAGGAAAGCACTTAACCACATACCTAAGTACACACTTTACATGCTGAAGTGCTCTCCAGAGTATGGCCCCACATGTGTAAGGATAAGTACATATGTAAGCACCGGTCTACACACAGATAGGATACTGGTATAACTATGTTGGTTAGGGTGTGATTCTTTTTTTCTGATATAATTATACCCGTACAAGCCCTAGTGAGGAAACCGTTACACTGGAATAACGGTGCCTTATACTGGTACAGCTTATCCCCTGAGGTGGAGGGTTATTGCACCTCTATTACTATATTGTATGGTTAAAGTAGAACAACTTTTATGCACAGAACAAGCCCTAATTCTTTGTGAAGTGCCCTCTGGACTTTTCTTGCAACTGTCTGGGTTCAAGAACAGGACCATCCTAAAACACCAACCTTTGAATAAAGCCACAGAGCGCGAGAGTGACAAGAGTCCAAAGAGAAAAACCGTCCCCAGAGCCAGCCAGTTGGAGGAGACTGTGTAGTGCTCCAAACGGTAACGCTGGAATGCGAAGTGGTAACATTTCTGAGGGGACAAAAAAGTATTAACGTCATTAAACCTATGACGCAGCTGAACAGAGATCCAGCCCAATGCCCCTGGGGAGAGAGCCACCTGCAATGGGGAGAACAAGGGGTTCCAAATAGAATGCAAGATGTGATTAATTTAAAGGGACACTATCAACTTAAATTCTTTGGAAACTAAATTTAAAAAAAAAAAAACATTTTCTAATAAATCCTCTATAACTGACGTAGCTTCCACAGTCAGAGAATGTGTCTGCGGTCTCAGTTTCTCAAACTTGGCGCCTCAAAAAAATGCCTAGAGATTCACTTGCTTCAACCACATCCCCTTCTTGGGAATTTGGTTTATTTAAAGAACTGTTCAACTGAACTCATCACAAATACTTTTCAACCCTCTTTTCCAGGAGTTCTTCCTTACTGGGCATCACAGCCCTCTCCAAACCAGGCCTCCCGCCTGGCAATTCCCCCAAACCAGTCCCAGCTGAGATTTCTACTACTGCTCTCTGTGGGTGCCTCTCGCCAGGCCTTCTCCCAGGCCCTGGGTCTCTCCTTTCTCCATCTGGACTGGCTCCCTCTTTAAAGAAGTTCCATTTCCAGGTTTCTGTCACACAATACTTGGGCACCTGCCTGAACAACAAGCCACAGCCTGAAATAAGGTACAGGGATGTGCAGGACCAGCGCATTTACAGCAGTGTTTAAATATAGCCCTGCCTGACCTTCTCTGTTGTTGTTAACCCCTCTAAGGGCTTTTCTGCTCTTCTATAGATGACCTAAAAAGTCCTTCTGGGCAGACCCAAAAGAAACAGTATGTAACACACTCGAGTTCTGCCCCTCCCCTCTCTCCCCCACGCAGGAGGGATTATTCACTTCCTGTCCTAAAATGGTCTCTACTCCTCTTGCATCATTTGCTTTCATCTCATAGCAGCCGTGGGATTGTTATTTCACTGTCAAGCTTGTATGGTTAGCAGGGAAGCAGTTTAAATTCTCAGATGGCTCCTACATACTGAAAGTAAATCAAGTGGTGTTAAAATATGCAGAACAGAGATACACACCAGAGTATCCTGCAGCCATGTTTGGCAGGTGTCCCAAACCACTGCATTCTCAGGGGCCTTCCTACTGCACATAGCAATCCTCAGCCAGGGCTATAGAACTGCTAGTATTACAGGGCTTGATCCTGGGAGCAGGTAGCTCAAGAATTGCACATTAGCAGAGCTTGCGCGTGGGAAGAATTGCAATAGCAGGGAGTGCTGCAGGTCAGGATTGTGGGACATTGGCAGGGCTGGATAAAGGGCCAGGGACTGCAATAGCAAGGGATACTGCAGGTCGGGGTTACAGGGAATTGGCAGCGCTGGGTAAGAGGCCAGCACTGGAGTAGCTGAAGATGTGTTAGCAGTACTGGGAGTGGGGCCTGGGACTGAAACAGCAAGAGGTATTGTATACCAGGACGGGAGGTAATGGCAGAGCCAAGGGGAGCAGCTGGAAGAGTCTACTATAGAGACTAATGACTGCAAAAAAGAACTAGATAAATTCATGGAGGAGAGGTCCATCAATAGCTGTTAGCCAGGATGGGCAGGGATGGTGTCCCTAGCCTCTGTTTGCCAGAAGCTGGGAATGGGCGACGGGATGGATCACTTGGTGATTACCTGTTCTGTTCATTCTCTCTGGGGCACCTGGCATTGGCCACTGTCGGAAGACAGGATACTGGGCTAGATGGACCTTTTGTCTGACCCAGTATGGCCGTTCTTATGTTCATTCATATGTATTTTTCGTGGGTAAGAAATGAATAATTTCAGCTCTGTGAAAGCTTCTACTGATCTGGAACATTTTACTCTACAAAGTGTTTTAATCTACATTTATTAAACACTTTTTTAGCTCTTTAAAAATAGCAATTTCCTAATGCCTAAACAATACCATTTTCCTTTTGAATAAGGGAATTGTGAAAATCTTGGATTACAACAAGGACTTCCGAATAGCCCAGCCACAAAGATCAAATTTCATGGCTTTATAATGCGATCACATGAGATGCTTGTCTGGGATTGAATCAAATGATGAATCTTTCAGAAGATTTGGGCCACTGACTTCCAGATTGGGCCAGGGTTGTTCTCACACCATGTGAGAGAATTTCTAATGAAGGGCCGTTGAGATGTTTCAGTGCTAACGCAGAACACTCAGGAAACATCATGCATATTAATATTTGGTGGTAGCACTTGACATCCATAGCCTACTGTTCAGGCTAATCCAAGATTTTTACATCATTAGCACATTCTATTCATACATTTATGCCATTTGGGGAGGGAAATCTCCACATTTTTGCTCCTGCATCACTGCTTTATGGGGATCGAATGATTCTGCACAAGTTCTCAATCAACCAGAACTGGAGGATTATGTTTAGCCAGCTACTTTGTAAAAGCAGCAAACACATACACATTTTAACTTTAGAACGGTTGTGTTTTTTCAATCCCAGGGCTTTATGATCAATCTATGTGCCACATTCTGAAAACTCAAACCCTGCTAGCTAACAATCAGAAACAGCTGACTGCACATCATGCTCTTGGAGTTACACTACGGGCACTGCAGAACTATGCAGATTACTGCAGATTATGTTGCAGCAGCAGATGTTCTGCAGATGTTTCCAAGCCTTCGGGAGCAATGATATAGAAGTCAACTGGTAATTAAACCCCCGTTAGATACCAGGTTATAAAACGCAGCACTTCCCACTGAAACCCACCTGAAGGGCAGAGAGAGCCACAGCTCCACAGAGACAGATGAGAGGATATATGGGAAACAGAAACCTCTCCTCTTTGTGGGGTTGACTGAAGAAAATCAGGATCCAGATGTACATAGGAGCTAGCGTAAGCCAATATGGGCGACCCAGATTCTGGACTGAAAGAAGCATAAACCAGTGAATCAAGGCTCATGAGACTAGTGAAATAAAGACAAGGGCTTTCCCTCAGTTTTCATTCTCTCTCTCAAATGGAATGTTTCACTATTCAATCCCAAGCAGCACTTCCACTCTCCATATCATAGCCAAAATAGCAAGAAATCAGTCAGGAGTAAAGCTTGCTTAGTGCATTTCTGTAGGCTTCAGATGCCCTAAAGGTCCCAGAATGCAGGGAAGCCAGAGCCCAAAACAAGAAGCAGGATCTGGATAACGAGCCTATAACTAATCCCAGGAAAAAAAGACAAAAATCCATCATGACCTGAAGCTTCTGAACAGGAAATCAAAAATTCCTGATATTTGTTTTGTTGTACTATACTAGCGCATCCAGGGATCAGAGATAGAGTCCTATGAAGCTTATATTCCTAATTGAAGTGGTTGTTTAGGTACTTGTATTTCCAAAACCCTTGTTGCTTCATTACAAAAATAACAGTGCATGTAAGATCTCTCAAGTAACTTGTGTGTGTGTAAAACAGGAAGAAATTAATTCAAAAATAACAATAATTACCCTGAATTTTAGTCTGACGAGATTGCTCAATGCAATTTTAAATCCTCTCACCCCACCCCTCCAAAAGCTGTAGTGTTAAACAAATAAGCATAGAGGCATTTCACAGACAATAAGAACAAAGCACTCAGAAAAATGGCTTCTGCTGTTAGGTACACAAGTGTTAGGTGAGCAGCAGGAAACCTGCATTTATAGGATCTCCAACTGAGCTTTTACTGGTTTCTGACAGTATGTCAGCCACATTCAAGGAACAGACACAACAGCACCCTCTAGTGTATGCTTTTAGGAAGATATATTACAATGCCATTTCTTAACAGAATTCCATACATAACCAGAATCCTAACAGGAGACGCTGATCACAATGCTGCTATCTGCCCCTAAAATTTACCATGTGTCCATCCTTGGGAAAAATGTGCTAGCAGCAGCCAGGGGAAGATGCAACCACTGGGTTTTTTCTTCTTCCACTCCCCCGCCACCCTGGTATTTTAGAAGAGCATCTTGCCAAACTGCATGAGTTAAACTGACATCCTTCGATTTAAGAGAAACCCAGTATGAACTGGACAACGTTTTGTTTTTTCACAGTGTAATTTATGAAGTGTTCACTTTGAAAGTGATCACTTTGAAAGTCAGATGTCAGACTATCATAATGGTCCCTTCTGGCCTTAACATCTATGAATCTAAAATCTACCAAAATGGGATTTAATTGTATAATTTTGTAGCAGCAGCACTTGACATGCCGTATTTTGGGCTACAATAAAATTTATGGCCACCCCTACTAGCCCTTAGAGCAGAGATATGTAATAGGACTGAGAATTTAAGCCTCATTTGTTCCCTTATGAAGGTAAATATTCAAGTATTTCAAGGAAAAACTATCATTTCAATGGCATAGCTGTGAAATGGTACATTAAAGTGCAAGAGACTTCCTAATTCAGGAAGAAGTTTTTTAGAAATCTGCCCTACGTGGGCTCAATCCTGAAAGGTGCAGAGTGCCTTCAACAAATTATACAAGTGCTCACTACTCAACTTCTTGCAAGATCATGCTCCATATGGGCAGCATCAAGGGAAAGGGGTAGCTTGTAGGGATTAGAATGGTTTATGAAGAAATAACAACCCGAAAAATCCAAACTAGATCCAAAAAAACCCCAACCCTGTTCTCTCAAAGCTCTCTTCTGAAATGTCCTGGCAGTTGCATTTAAAACAACAGTAAAAAAAAAAGTGTAGAGAACTGAGGGCTGACACTTCCAATCGAAGATAAGATGGAGATAACTATGAGTATTTTTTTTCCCCTAAAATTTCTGTCAGGGTTATTTCTATAGCATTTGCATCTGTGGCTGAAGAGTGTGCGGTTGTACAATTTGTCATACTTACTCGGCGTACTTCAGCCTTGACAGCACAATGCTCTTCAGAGGAGAGGGAGGCACGGGGAATGAAAGGATCATCCTTAAAGAGTCATGACCGTGTTCCGTCCCTTGCTGGATGCTACTGTGAGCTCAGGTGTCATTTGCAGCCTCTGTCTCCAGCCTGCACCCATTGTAGGGTAAATAGTGCAGTGCAAATAATGAGCTCCTGGAACCAGGCTGTGTTTTTGTAAAGAGTTCCCTGACCCTGATTTTGCTTCCAAGAAAGAAAAGCTGCATATACAGCAAATAAGCTCTCTCCTAATTTTCAAGGATCTGGGAGACATGTGCTGCTGGAGCTCAGCTCTCAAAGACCGCAGCACTCACCGTGAAATTTCTGTAGCAGACATTCCATGAGGGAGGTCAGCGGCAGGGCAAGCAGGGCCAAGGCAAACGCCACGTTGAAGTTCAGGAAACCATTAATAAAATAGAAGGACCAGGGCTCAGTACCTGTGGGGGAGGAGGGGAGAGAAACAAAAGATAATTAGCGTGAGTGCCTAAAAGGACTAGATGTTACGGCAGCCCCATTCTCTCTCTGCCTGACCATGATCAGTGATCAGCAGCTTCAGAGATCGATTCTCTCTATACCCCATGGAGCTGAAACCAAAGAATGGGGTGAGGAGCATCTTACAGTAAGAGAACCAGTGTGGCCTAGAGGAATGAGCATGAATCCGATTTGAGCAGCTCCTGGGTTCTAACCCTAGCTTTGCCACTGATTTACTGTGTGACTTCCTAAGTCACTTCCACCTTTCTTTCCACAGCTATAAAATGGGATAATGATGCCGGGTGGATTAGTCAATAGTGATTTGAAGGTGCTAGAGTGTCAAGTATTACATCGCTGTCTCCATGCAAGTAACTTCATTGCTTTTACCTTTGGGGATTAACTGAAAACACATACACAACATACTGTCTCTTCCTTTCCCCTTATTAACGGTTAAGCCTCAATGTTATACCCACTGCCTGCTGTTCATGAATCCATGGGACATTCTAACGATCAGCCCCCAAAGAATGGGTGCCTCTCAAAATGCAAATGCACGGCAGTGTGCCGTGATGCAGGACAGCCACCATCCCATTCTGAAAGCCTATGCGATGAGAAAGTGGCAACTAAAACGGACAACGTCAAGAGATTCTGCTTCTCCAAACCAGCACCCACTGCAGCATAGAAGCTTCTCAAGTGAGAGGCAGCCACAGAAGCCCTGGATGTTAAGAGACTGTTACTGTCGGGAGCGATGCTGTCTCACAGGCCGCCAGAGCTATAAAACTTATTTCAAACAAACAAGAGCTTGCATTCACACTTTATCCACCCGGGACACCTGCTGTAAAGTTCATCTACCTGCTAGTTACATACATCTTCAGTCGCTAAAGTTTCCCGGTGTCAATTTGTTTTTCCGACAGTTTAGCTTTAAGAATAGGACACAAAAACATTTGTTCAGTAAACAGTTCAACCCCTCCTACTGGTTGTTGCAAGCTTCGAAGGATGCAAAGTGACAGAAATTCCAGTCTGTCATTCGTTTGTACTCTTAATTCAAGATGCTTAAAATCCTGACCAGTGGGGAATGCCAGTTCCTCTCTGCACGTTTGCCACCTTCTTGGTATGATTAGCGCAATCAGTCAGTAAATGACACGCGGGGGCTTTAATCAATGCACTGTTGTGACATGTGTCACACGCCGTGGCAATTTCCTGCAATCAGAGCCACTTAAAAAGGGTCTGTGTTGAAATTAATCAGACAACTGAAAAGCAGCAAGGAAAGCCTGACACCTCTGCAGCTTGTACAACTAAATACGACTAGAAGCTGAACTCAATGTCAGAAACAAGGAGCAGGAGTTACCAAAGCAAAGCCCAAGCAACTCACTTTATTTGGGAATCCTACATCCATTAGCACGGCAGCACTGGAAGCAAAATGAAATTAATGTTCTGTAGTGTTGTTGTTTTTTAAATGGGAAAGGTTATCAGAAATTCACCTTCAGTCCCCACCCACCCACATCATCACCTTCAAAGTCTCAGATGAGTATAATTCTCAGCCTGCTGCCAAAGCCCAAACAGGGGACACAGAATGTGACCAAGACTCAAAAGGATGAACACACAATAATTATCCATGCAGCAAATTTGCAATGGCTATGGGATTTCTTCCTCCAGTGTAAATAACCCTTTCCATGACCTCTGTTTTAGGATTCTTTATTTCTGATGTCTATAATTTTGAATAACCAAAGTGAAAGGGAAACCAAAAGTGTGCAGAATGTAGATAACTTTGAGACTAAAATGAGTGGCTCCCCCTTGGAAATCAGGGACATTTGAGAACTATGTACGTAAGAGAAAAGCCCATAACATGGAGGGGAATTAAATTTAAACAATATTATTTGTATTACTGTAGCTCCTAGGAGCCCTAGTCATAAGACCAGGATCTCATTATGCTAGGAGCTGTACAGACACAGAACAAAAAGACAATCCCTGCCCCAAAGAGCTTCCAATCTCAGTATAAGAACACGACTTAAGCTGTGTTGCTTATGTCCTACTGCTCTGAACTGTGGTTATAGCTGAAGCATGTTAGTTAACATTCGGGTAACACATTGCAACGTGCCTCAGTTTCCCCAGAGGTAAAATGGGGATAACAATTTACTTTCTTTGTAAAGCACTTTGCGATCTACTGATGAAAAGAGATATATAGGAGCTAGGTATTAATTAACTGAAATGATTACACCTTGTGAGAGGGAATCTTAAAAGGAAACTCTCAGATTTCAGGGGGAAATTTAGAAAACGTGGGAAGAAGAAATATTCAGTATACTCAGAGTGGTGAATGGACTCCCTGTGGGAGAACTCTGTATGTAAACAAGGGTTCAGTTTCTTCCCAGCCCGTCGGCTACTGGACTCTGTACTGCAGTAGCAATGCTGATGTGGAAGGAGTTGTGACATACCAAACACAGGGCTGCTACTTCAATGTTGGATGGAGTGCCAGGGGCATGGGCAAGCAGGGTGGGAGGAAAGCCCCTCTCGAAACACACCTCTTCTCTGCAAGGGGGTTGTGTGCCTCTCCAGTGTCCTAGCATATCATTGGCCAACATTGCAGCAGTCTCCCCTCCTGGTATCTGCTTTAATAACCCTCTTTAGCACACACACTATCTCCGAGGAAACCCAGTCCACCTGTCCATGCCTTCCCCTCTAGCTTAATTGATCCATCTGTACCAGAACCTATGAACCGTCTTTTAGGTGTTCACAGCCCACCGGCCAGGACCAGGGCAATGTTAGCCCTCACACTCAGGGTTCACAATTTCTTCCTCTAGGTCACAGGGGTTCAGGCAGTTGTTAGTTTTTTTCAGGCAATGGCCCAGGGAAGGCTAACAGCCACCTGTAGCTATTTCCAATGGAGAGATGCCCTGTTCTATTCAGGTCTCTCCCCATACCTGGGGAGGACAGGACCTGCCTATTACATCCTGTTTTTCCCTTCCCACCAGGCCTTGCTTTAGCCCACAGTCACAGGATTTGGGGGGAAACCAGGGTCAGATGAGAGCTGGGCCTAGACTCCTCTTAGAAAGGCACGGCCACCTCATGACAGACTCCAATGACAACGCAGAAGACAAATGGCCTGGAGCAGTGCTTTGATGCAGAGGCCCTTTCCCTAAGTTTGCCGCAGCGTGACTGAACTGCCTCTTAAGGACTAAGAGCTGGAGCCTTTTCTCCTTGTCCAAGGGCACATTTACTGCTGTGGCTCAGAAAAAAAAGCCAAATCAGGCAGGAATAATGCGTCACACGGGCTAGTTAAGTGACCCGCTGACGCAAGATTTTATGTAAAAAATACAAGCTTGAGGCATGGTGGCTGTGTTGACTCACGCGTTCAGAGACATTCAGTCTCTCTGCCTCCCAGTGCAAAATGCCTTTATTTTTGTCATTCACAAAGGCACAAGGTGACTTGAGACACGACAGCAATGAAAAGAACACCACACACAAGGAGAAATCCTGCCTCTGTTGGTGTTCTTCGGGGATGGGGGAACTATCCTTCCACAGAACAGTAGGAATAAGCTTCCCCAGTGTGACATTCGTAAGACAAAGGACTGGAAGGGATCTCCCAAGTCATTCAAGCAGAAACAGAAGAATAAACCATGCAAATCATATGGACTCATTGTGCCACGTCCAGTTTATCAGTGGTGGATTAAGAGAGAAAAGCGACTGCAAGTGGTAGAAAAAGAACAGTGCAGTATTTACAGTAGGGCCCACTGATGTAGCAGGCTGCATATAAGGAGAACCCACAAGAGTGATTACTAAGCATCCCAGAGCCAGAAGATATTTAGCCTTGTGTTCTACTTCAGGGGCCATTACAACCTTTAAACTCAACGAGCCAGATAAAATAGGTAGTTCTTATTAATTTATACTCCAGTAGCACCGAGGAATCCTAGCCGAAGACCACGATCCCATTGTGCTAGGTGCTGTACAAACAGATGCAACTCCAGTGAATTCCTCAAATGCTTCCAAAGTGTAACCGCCTTACAAGTCACAACCAACGCTCCCCACATAAATGGGACGGGCTCAGCAGACGAATCCACAGGGCCAGGGGCACGAAGGAATAACTCTCATTGTTCTCGTTATTGCTCAGCTAATAGTTCTAATGATTTTCTCCAACTGCTCATCTTTTTAGAGCCTCGAGAATACGGATCAGTGATACCTGCATATGAGCCACTGTCCCCACGGACATAGGAATCTGATAACTGACAGTGGAATATTCACTACAGTGAGTGCCTACATCGGGGGGGAAATAATATCTAGAAAAAGGAAAGAAAATGCTCTTCTTGCCTGCAGGATCCCAGCTTGTAAGCAAGAAAGATATACCACCATGTCCAGATACCACGTTTATGGATGTGGCATGAGAATCCAAGCAGAACAGGAGTCAGGTTAAAGGGAAGAGAATGGTGATACCACTGTTCCCTGTCATCTGTCCCCACCCAGAGTGTAACAGCCTCTCCCTCAGGTACTATGTACTAAAGGGGTGTAGCCTGTGATCACACAATCTGGGAGGAAACCAGAGTCTGAGGAAACTGAACCTAGACCCCTCATAGGGTATGTCTACACTGCAATTAAACACCCGGAGCTGGCCCGTGTCAGCTGACTCAGGTCACGGGGCTCAGGCAGCAGGGGGTATACAACTGCAGCAGAGACACTAGGCTCAGGCTAGAGGCCAAGCTCTGGGACCCCTCCAGCCCAAGCCCAAACATCTACACTGTAAATTTACAGCCCAAGCCCTGTGAGCCCGAGTCAGCGGATACAGGCCAGCCATGGGTGTTTAACTGCAGTGTAGACATGCCTTTAAAGGCCCAGCCACCTCATGAGAGACTCCAATGATATCAGCAAAGGGAATGCAGGGGATGATAGGCCAGGAACCGCGCTTTAGTCCTGGCACTAAAGATGGTGCAACCTGGTGCTTCATCAGCTCCCAGTAGATTTTTATCCTGTTCCCATGAAAGCTGGGACAGCGTTCCAAAGCCGAAAGAACTTGCCTGGCCTTTTCATCTCCCTGCGTGGCGTGACTTTTCCTTACAAATAAACATTATAAAGCTTTCTAAACATATAGCATTATGGCATACAGCCTCCTGGCCACACAGCATTAAGCAGACATTTCACTGAGGCTCTTTTATTCATATGAAGATGTTATATGAGTGTCACTGTGCACAAATACTTTAGAATGGATTGGTTCCCAGAGGACACCAGAAATAGCTCACACACAAGCACAGAAAGGTCAAGGATGAGCCCGGCCAAACCAAACCCCATCAGCAAAAGTGTCTGAAGTTTCCATTACACAGGAGTCACTGCAATACATTTCAGATCGTTATTGCAGAGACCAAGGTCCCTGGCAATACTTGCCCTGTTGTACCTTAAGAAACCAATCACCGGGCTGCCCCACCCAGAAATGCCCTTCTATCTGAGTGATACTCCCGGGACCCATCAGAAGTTGCCAGAGGCAAAGATGGCATTAGAAACTATTCACTGCCGCAGTCTGGCCCGAGCAATATCAGATGTGCAGTGGGATCTGTATGACAAGGGCAACAAGGAGATCTCGCTGCTTCCTCAGACACCCCACTGTCTCCTCTAGTCAGGCTATTTAACTGCAGCCCTGTAAGCAGTCTCTTTAATGATCCCTCATTTGAACTGATCTTAACTCCCTCACAAAAAGCTCTCCCTTCATTTCTAATAGCACCAGGTCAGCTGGGAGCCAGGAGCCCCCTTCTGAGGAACCTAGGAATTGCCAGACTGGCTCAAATCCCACATCCATCTAGCACAGTATCCTGTCTCTGACAGTGGTTAGCACCAGATGCTTCAGAGGAATGTGTAAGAACCCCTTGGTAGGCAAGTGTGGGGTAATCTGCCCCAGGCCCCAATTAGGTCTCAAATAGAGATCAGCCTAAAACCTGATGCAGAAAGTTTTATTACCCTTCCAAATTTTTTGTTATCTTTAATTATGACAACTCGGGATGTTCTTGATGTCCAATCCCTTTTTGAATTGTGCTAAGCTATTAGGCCTCAGGAACCTCCTGGGTCATTCAGTTCCACAGACTAATCGCACCTGGTGTGAAAAAATTTGCTTTGATCCGTTTTGAATTTTTATCACCTGAACGAAATCCTAATCCTGTCTCTGCCACTAACTTCCTTTGCGATCTTGGGCAAATCACTTTCCCTATTCTGTGCCTCAGCTTTCTGATCTGGATTCTTACAGTACCAACCTCAAAGGAAATAGGTGGGGAAAGGTGTTATAAGCTCCATGAAGAGCTATATTGGGCTAAACATTATTATTGCTCCCCTTCCAGAGTCAATGTCTGCCACTTGTCAGGAGCAATTTTTCACCCCAATTCATATGTCTGAGAGAAACGAACAGAGATCAAGAGTAACTCATACAAAGCCAAAGCCCATCCTAACTCCAGCAAGACTGTCATAACAAACAGCAACATGCAGAATTAATTAACCTTTATCTTTCTCCAGATTCCTGCAAATGCCCTTCTGGTAACCTCTCTTCTGCTGCATGTCAGCAAAGCTCAGACCATGCATTGTCACAGAAGCAAGGAGATCCCCAAGACACAGAGTCTGTGAAGAACTGATGAGAAGCGAAAGGGCTCAGGGGCTGTGCTCTCAGTTACATGCCAGACGGACTCCGCACCCTGTCTGGATGAGACCGAAACAGCCACAAACAGGATTAAAGCTGACAAACAGACTCACGCAGCACTCTCTTGCTTTGGTTTAAGAGTGTAACCAACATTACTCAGACAGATAATGAGTCACACAGCTCTTTGGTACAAACAACCACTTTGAATAACGCTTATAAAACATGTGGAGGAAAACAGAACTGTACCTTGGGGAGAATCTGAAATTTACAAAATTGGGCACAAATGAAATACGATGTAGTCACATTGGATCTCAAACAGGTTTGCTGCTAAGAGTTCTCTGCTGTGAAGCGTAGATTGCTGAGACATCCCGTGATGTCTTTGTGGTGCACCAGAACTTCAAAGCTAGAAACTCATCCAAAGCAACTTAGCTTAGAATTCAGCAAAACAAACAGGAAATATAAAAATGCAGGTGGTATTCCTGACTCAAGAGAGACATCCAGTGGCAATAGACAGGAACTGCCTCACTGGCGAGCTTGCTTAACTGCATCAAATGAGCCCTCACAGCACACCCCGATATTTTGTTATAACGCACTCACCGTAAAGATCGGGTCCGTGAGGTGTGAAGACATTGTATAAAACAATGTTGAGAGGAGTGATTACCAGCTTCCCATAGTAATAGCTGTCAACAATCACAAGGGGAACCTGGAAGAAAGCATTTAAAATTCATGTAGCACTGGCAGCTTTGGCCAGAAATTCCAAATCAATGAGGGGCTGCCCAGTGTAGTGTCACTGCCAAACTTCCATATTTGTGCCAGGGAATAAACAGCCTCCCAGCCCCCATGCTGCACAAACGATAGGTATATGATGCCTGGCTCTAACTGACAGGGCCCCTGCAAGACAGGCACGGCTATTCGGTGCTGCAGCTTCTTCCAGGAGTATAAAGGGTTTAGAGTCCACACCAGATTGCATTCATCATGCAGCAATGAACTGGAGATGCTGAGTGCAAAAGGGGAGTTTGGTTCCTAAGCCCCTTACCCCTCTGAGACTGGACAGTGAATGGCAAAGGCTTTGAGCAGCATCTCATTAACCAAATCAGCCTTTAGGGCAGAGCATTCAGCAGCAGCAGCCAGCATTGGCATGTGCTGCTTTGGGCAGCGGGATACGTGTTTTGTCCATCCCTCTGCGAATCAGGTAACAAGTACCATACCTGGCAGGATGCCCCCGCTCTACACCCTCTGTACAGGTACTAGAGACTGACTTTCAAGTTCTGATTAAGACTGATTCAGCTAGAGACTGGAGGAACAACAAGCAGAGACTAAAAGCCCTCTGGGAGCAGCAAAGGGAGGTCAGTCCTCTGCAGAGAGGCAGGGTGAGGGGATCATTGCATGGAAGCTACACAACTTCTCGGCCTTTGAAATCACCTGTAAGAACGAGGGGAGTGAGCCAGGAACAGAGATGTGCTTAGGAGCAGAGGGTGAGGATATTGAGCTCAGGGAGATTCTTGTTAATAAGAACCTCAGCAGACACTGGGCAAGTCCTCTGAAAGGGCTCTCCCTGCAAATGAGCCCTGGCTCTGTTACAACCCCAGCCCAGCTCCTCCATTGGGCTTTATTACAGGAACTTACCAGAAACAGGATCAGGGCCACCAGACACCAGTTCAGGAAGCTCTTCCACCTCCGCTTTATTATCAGCAAGTCAATGGCAATAGGTAGCCTGGAAAAGACAACATCTGCATCAGGGACCCTTTTCAATCCAATAATCACCCACCTGCCTCACCTTGAGAATCCTTACCCCCTCCTCCCCCCAGGCCTAGGAAGACAGTTAATGGGGGAGAGGGAGGGAACGACGGACTCTCTCCCATTAGTCTCAAGCCAGGAACTGACTTCCCTGCCAGTCCATCAAACTGTTCCTTTTTTCGAGGGGACTATTTCAGCAAATCTAACAAGACACCTCTGAATGGATTGTCAGCAGCAGGGATCAAACCTGAGACCTCTGGATATTAAAGCGCAATCCTTGATTCCTAAGCTAAAAACCCCAGCTGTGTTAGCCGAGTCCATAGCAAGCACATTAAACCTCTGTATGTGCCCCAGATACCACCCCAGCACTATTCTGAGAGCATGTGGGTTATACAAACACCACCTAGACTCTGAATAACATGTACCACATGGATGCAGGGTTTTCCTAATGGTGCCACAGCCTCCCAGCCAGACAACTGAGCACTCAGCTTTGAAAAGCACAGAACCTCTGTCAGGCCTCTGAGCTTTTCTCTCCTTACCCAAGAGCTGCACTGAAAGGCCAACCCACGATGGCTCCAGCTGCCACGCCCAGCACGGCTATAGAGGTCTTATCCATATACCAGCCCGTCATGGCAACCACTGTGGTGTACATACAGAAACTGCTGGGGAGGAAGGCTACAAAGCAAAGAAAGGAAGGGGTCAGCTAAACTTTCACGTAGGTAAAATACTGCATAGGGTCAACTTAAGGCTCTGTAACAGGCAGAGTACAGTCTGCTATAAACACTGGGAATGAAATCCTGGCCACACTGAAGCCAATGGCAAAATTCCCACTGATTTCAACGGAGCCAAGATTTCACACCGGAAGTCCTCCAGTTAAGCGCCTTCTCACTCTATTCTGCCAAGATTAAGACCAGAAATATTTCCTCCAAGTACTAAGGTCCCTTTGCTCATAACCTTCCACATTCCACAGTGGCAGCCCAGCCAGACCACCAGCATTTGCAGATATAGGATTACCCATAACACTTGCTCTATTATCTGTGTCCTTTCTTAATCGGAAGGACAATATGAACTTGCTCACAGGGCAAATGGAGATTGGGATGGACTGGGCACGGGCCTCGAGAAACCAAGTCGGAATATGGGGAAATGAACAGGGAATGAATGAGAACTACACGAATAGTGCTGGAAAGGGCCTTCTAGCCGTCATCGTAAACAAAGGCAGTGCAGAATAGATCTCAGACATCATCTGGCTGTCACGCCTCCCCTCCTTCTGAGGCCACGTCAGCACCAAGTGCAAGAAGCCATTGCTCGAAATGACTTTCAATTGCCACCTTCGCACAAAATGTCCCTTCACATGCACACAATACCCACCCCAGGCATTTTACAAACCTGGGTTGCAATGGCTGGCTTGGCAGAGACCATTTAAATGGTGGGGGTACATTAAGGCACATTATAATGCCAGCCTACTGCAAGATAACACCTTTTCTCCCCCTGGTTAAAACTGGGCCACAGGCCCACGTGGAAATTTCAAAAACACTTAAGGAAAATAGTCCCAGAATGACTAAGACCCAGTTTGAGAGCAAAGAGGTTTGAAAGGCATGGCTCACTGAGACTGGGGACTGCAGCAGAAACAAATACAGCCAGGGAGGAGGAAGATAAAGGAAAGGAGTGGTACACATCTGGGACAACAGCTGCTCTCTGGCCAGGTTTCCCATTAGAAATGTCTGAAGCAGGAGAGCAATGGATTATCCATGTCAAGCACTGGGCATTGAGTTATGGGAACATTTTAAGGTAATGCTTTAAAAAAAAAACTACAGTTGAGGTTTTCCCCTCCGGACCCACCAAGGCATTCCTGAGAGTGGGTCACTCCTGCACCTGCTGCTGAGCAAGCCTACCTGCAGCTGAGCAAAACATCCCAGTGCTGAGAACTAAGAAGGCCAACATCAGCCGGCTCACATGCAGCCCAAATTTCTTACACACGGCCCTAGGGAAGCAGAGAGAATATCAGACACAGCACCATGGAAACATCTTCTGTGCACAAAAGAAAAAAAAAAAAAAAAAACACTCTGCACAAATCAACAGCTACTGCATGCAAGGCTGAAAGCAGCTCTTGGGAACCCCGAGCTGGAGGGCTCTCACTCCTCAGCCCCTGGAGACAAATGGACAGAGGAAGAATGGATACTCTGAACCCATCTACACTTGGATTTCAGCCCCATGCATAGCTACGCCAGTGCAAACCACTACTGTAGAGACGGTAGGCACCAGGGTAAGTTGCACTTGTGCGAATCATAAGAAGATAGGAATTGCCAGACTTGGTCAGACTTGTGGCCCCATTGAGTTCAGTATTCTGTCTCCACGTGGGCTTCACCAGTGTACATAGTGTCTGCACTAAGGGAGTGCAGCTACGCCATAATTGCTATTCCAGAGTACACCAGGCCTCTGTTTTACCAGTCACAGTAGCTGGCCACCAGTAGCACCATACCAAACGCTGCAGTTTGCTTCCCAGAATCAGGATCAATGCCATCTCATGGCTGCTGCCAATGGAGATGCAAAGTGGGACAACGATGGCTCGAAAAGAAGTGGCAGGCTAAGACTTCCCACTTGGACCAGCTAATTGCATGTTCAGGCTACTGCTTTATGGAGCTGCAAACTCCACTGGAGTTACCCCTCAGCTGGGATCAACAGAGCCAGGAGACAGAGAACTTGGGGGTGATTCTGAATTTTGAAGCTTTCCAGTGCATCCCAGCTGAAATCACCTACATAAAATGAAGTCCGCTGTTTCCCCTCTTCGACACACCCAGTACAACTCAGCTCTGACAATTCTGCTGATGTCAGTGGGAACGCTGTGCACAGAGCCTGAGCCAAATGCCAGAGTTAAGACTTACTCAGTGGACCTCAGAGCAGAATTTGGCCACAGTGGCAGGATTCTAACCAATGTTTCCCTATGAATCTTTGCTGGATACGTATTTTGACAGATTTCAATGTGAAGCACTATAATCCACATAAGACGTTTTTATATGGGTTTGTGGGTATATTTTCAGCCCTCATTGTCAGTGGCAATAACCATCCCTGTTGTTCACACTGGGCTATTCACTGAGCAAATAGCTTCATCTACTCACTTATAAAAGTAAAGCTCACAAATGCAACTCAAGAAGGCCAAGAGACATCGCAGGAAATAAAAGACGAGAACCTAGGAGAAACATTCAGAGTCAGAAACGGAATGTATAAATGGAACTGAAGTGCCTGCTGGTAAACCGTGGAGCAAAAATGTGAATGGCTAATATAAGATGGAATAACTACTGCCATGGTGAGAACCCCACAAGATCTACTTGTTAAATGATGGAGCCAAAGTCCACTCAATGTGGTGCCTGATCCCACACCCACTGATATCAATGGCAAAGTTCCCACTGATTTGAAAGACACAGGATCTGGCCCTTTGACACCAAGTCCTTTATGGCAAAATGGTGAAAAAGAAATGACTCCATGGAACGGGACCCTGGGCTAACCTGCCCTTTCCTCTTTCAAGTCTTGAGAACCGAAGCCTTAACTGCAACATTACAAAGGGAAATTATCCCAAATATCCATCTGCTCTATCTTATCCAGCGATCACGCACGCACACAAGAGCATCTCGGTACTAAGGGGTGGCGCTATACACAGTGTGGCAGATAAGTACCCAAGCAACATGTTTTTTTTAAATGCTTCTTTTTCACTTTCTCAGATCTACATGTTATAATGTGTTATGCGAGAAGTGCAGCATACTGACATTTATATTTTGATTTTAAAAATGAAACCATTAAAAAAAAAAAAAACATTGCAAAAGCACTACTGGATGAAATTTCCAGAGCATACAAGTGAAATCAGCTACATATCTTCCAGGAAGCTTAACAGCAGGTTTGAGACTATGGTTCTCTTAGACCAGTGGTTCTCAAACTTTTGTACTGGTGACCCCTTTCACATAGCAAGCCTCTGAGTGCGACCCCCCTTAAATATATAAAAAAGCATTTTTAATGTATAACACCATTATAAATGCTGGAGGCAAAGCGGGGTTTGGGGGTGAGGCTGACAACTCACGACTCCCCATGTAATAATCTCACAACCGCTTCAGGGGTCTCAACCCCAAGTTTGAGAACCCCTGCCTTAGACTGCTTTGAAAAACAGTCTTTATGTCAAAGTCTTTATGTCCTAGCCTGAATACATGGCTACTTTCAAGAGGCACCTTTCAAACAGTTTCTAGCCTGCCTTTGGTTCATGAACCCTACTAACCATACTTCTTCTGCACCCATTTAGACACCCCTGTGCATGCACAAGCACGCTAATTAAGAATTCCAATGCCCTTTGTGTCAAACAGTTGCTTTCTTTGATACAGACGAAAGGCCAGATGATTTCTCACAAGCAAAGCTCCGACACAAATGATTTACCTTATTTGTCCGTAGAACTCGAGCATGGAATAAGGCTGGCAAGGCATGAAGCCACAGATAAGCATAGGAGCGAATGGCATAGACTGGAGAGTATTCCCATGTCTGGAACCCTTTCCCATAGACGAGGTAGTGCATCTACAAATCCCATTTAAAAAAAAATACAGGTTAAAAAGAGGACACATTTTTGCTTTAGCCATTAGCAAACAATAGCATAAAAAGATTGATATGTTGAGGGCACAGATCAGCATGAGGCAGCTGTAGGCAAATCCATATCAAGAATCTGAGCAGACCAATTACAAAGCCTCAAATTCCTGTACTAAGGAGAAGAAGCCACTCACCGGTTCCCAGTAGTTAAACGTCTCATCACAATCGGAGATGTTACTCAAGAGGGCAGCGCAGAACCGAGCTGAGATTAGACACTTGAAAGCTGTGGATCCTTCAGGGGCCCAGACCTGACCCGCCTTGTTCCCGGATGGCCTAATCAAGAGCAAAGAACTAGTGTCACAAGGACTTATTGGAGTGGATGATATAAGGTAACAGGATTAAGAGCAGCAAGATGACACAGGGCAAAGAACCCAAGAAACTGGGAAATCCACACAGAAAGAGTTAAGACACTCTGGGAAGCAATGAATATGTCTGTACTCCCTCTTCAGTATCCTTAAAACACACACTGAGCGAATCTAAGTCTACAGCTCTTTGCATCCTCCTTTCAGATCCTTCTGCTCAGGGCATGATAGGCATCCTGTTCATTACATTTAAATTCAAGTTGGTTTATCCATTTACACATCTAATTAATGTCACTTCTTAGACATTTACTTGTTTTAACTGACCCTCACCCAACCAGTGACCCTTTAAAGACATTTTCCTCAGTCTATTTTATGTACTTACGTGGCCCCACCGCTGTTGTATCTGAACAACTCACAATCTTTAATACATTTATCCCCACAACAAACAGGAGAGTGTTCTTACCACCATTTTACAGATGTGGAGGTGAGGCACAGAGGAACTAAGCGACTTGCCCAAGGAAGTCTGTGGCAGAGCAGGGACTTGCACCCAGGTCTCCAGAGTCCCTGGCTAGTGCCCTAATCACTGGACCATCCTTCCACCCCTTGAATCCCCGTCCCACCGCTTACCAGACCCAGCCCTACTAGGCTGTGAGGTTGGATGGCACCCTGGCACCAAGTGATACAGCTACATTTCTAACTATACTGAGGAAATGTACATGGCCAAAGGCTCTGTTGGTTTTTTTTGTATTTTTCATTACTGCTGTTATACTTACTACAGCTCAAACCTAGTTTTGATGTCAGTGAATCCATTCTATGGGGGTCCTTGTACCGCACCCACCATTGTGGCATCTCAGCACCTTTATGTCAAGGATAGTCCAAACAAATGAACGCCAGATTAACTTCTACCCATTGGGTCCCCTCTGGTATCAGAGGCGGCTCTGGTGAAACCACCCTGCAATGTTCAACAAGTCTAGCTAGATGCCAGGCTCTGCTCGCAGAAACTGAGCCCTGGTGCATTCACCGAGCAAAGCCCTTGCTAATGCCCCAGTCCCAGGCTACCCAGGGCCACCCACCCCACAAGGCTTTGGAGACGGTCAGGTCCGTTCATAGGGAGACACGGTGGGTGCGGTAATATTTGGGTCCAACAGGATGTATTAACTCACCCAACCTGTCTCTCTCAGATCCTGGGGCCAGCACGGCTACAGCACCATTGCATGGGTCCCGTCAGGATTTCTTTATCAGGCTACTGTGTGCCGTCTATATGCAGCCCACTCGCCGGGGGGGGTGGTAGGGTGTCCACTCTGCCCCCGGTCCATGCCAGCCCCAGGGGGCCGGGCTCCCCTGCCCAAGGAGGGGGCTGGGTTCCCGTGCCCGGGGGGGCGGCTGGGCGCTGGGCTCCCGGCCCGGTGCCTGCCCCTTGCACCCCGCGGGGACAACCCCCCCCCAGCGCGCCCCCTACCCGGCCGGGCCCCTGCCCCCAGCCGCCCGTGGGCAGTCAGCCGGGCCGCCCGCGTGGCACCTACTCCGCCTTGGCCTCCTCCGGGGCCGGCCCCTCCTCTCGCGGCCGGACCGGGTCCCCGCCGCCTCCCCGCGGCCGCTGCCGGGTCCCTTTGGCCGCCATGCCTAGCTCGGGCAGCAGCGCGCCGGGCTCCCCCTGCTGCTCGCGGGAGGCGCGGGCTGAGGCCGCCCGTCGCCATACTTAGTGCGGGCAGCCCCGGGCGCAGGCTGCAGGCGCCGCTCCCCGCCGGCCCCGGGAGGCTCTGTGCTCACCTCAGCCGGGCTCCGGTCCGCTCCCTGCAACGGGCACCGGGAGGCGGGGGAGAGCGCCC